TTCTAGGCGTTTGAAATCTTTCTGGCATGTCGAGGGTGGATTATAGCCTATTACTGTTAGATAATGTTTTCGTCATGATTCCATATATGTTGTCATGGTGGATTATGTTTTATGGATTTTAAAATATTACCAAATTTAGTTAGCCATTATTGGAGGTAGTTTAAGTGTGTTGGGATGTCGATGAAATTGTTGAAGGAAGCTATCGAGCTTGTGAATGCAGGTTGGTTAATTTTATTCTTTGTTTTTATTTCAAGGGGAAAATGAATGAGATTAGGAGCTTGTTAAATATTTATTTGTTCGATATGAAACGACTTCGGATATGGTCTTTGTTTGATTAGTTCCAAGTGGTAATAATGGTAAGTTGAGACGAGAAGTTCCATTCCGCTGACGAATCGTGTGGTAGATTTTGTGAAAGCTATAAATATCTACCTGGAATGGATTTACTAGAACTTTGTAGATCGCATATTTGATTTAACCAGGATAAAACCTTTGGGCTTATTTCTTATCCATAACGCTTTATGTTGAAGTATTCTATATTGCTTTGCTTATTTATTCTTATTTTTACTTTCTAGGGTTTTGTTCATTTTTAGATGATAGCGTGAAAAGCGCAAAAACCGTACGGAAATCAGGAAGGCCTTCGAAGATGGAAAGAAATCGTCAGCAGTTTGCCGCCGTAGCTACCACTTCAGAATACGATCCGGAATTGGATGATATCATCGTTAATTCTAATGTGCAAAGGCGAAGTGTAAAGAACCAGAATAGGAAAAAAATTGCTAAGGTAATGGAACAGTAAAAAAATTACGCCAATTTCGATGGTCTTGTTATCGTTCATTTCTTCTCAAATCAATATTCTTAAGTATAAACTTTAAAGGCGACTTGTTTTTTTTTTTGATCTTTTACTGAATTTTCCAGAAGTTATAAGTTTGACTTGAAGTTTTAACTAATGAATTTCAGGTAAATATTAATTGCTAATGATATTGCATGCAGTAGTATCTTGATGACTAATTTCCATTATGAAACGTTGTATTAGTGTGTTAAACTACTTTTTAGCTTAAGCGGCTTTTTTACGGGAATTCAAATAACATTGCAATATTAAAGTTCATGAATGACTTTTTATTTTATAGACTATTTTCCTTTTTCGTTCTGTTGACTTCTTTCAGTCTATTCATTTTATCCCATTTTTTAATTTTCAATATATTTAAAATAGTGATTTGTATTTTATTTTTCAGAACATTTCGCTGTTAGAAGAAAGTCGTTTAAAAGGTAAGACGAATCTATTGAAACGTAACATCAAATATATGATTTATGAAGCGAACTGTAAATTGGATCCTGACAAAACCAAACAGATGATGGACTTCATGGATGAACATAACCGTCGTCGAAAAAAAATTCTTCGCGCATTGCGTAAACGAAATAGTTTGTTTTGCTTTTAGCATGTTTTTCTTCATTTATACCTATAATTTTCCAAAATTTGATACCGTCAGGTTATCAAGTTATCCACGCTCCAACTGTTATTTGATGAAAGTTGATATAACCGGTGTCGTTAGGCCATTCAGGATTTATTTTAGCTTTAAATAATGTGTAGGACTTTGAGTGAGCAATGTGGTTGAAGTGATTTTATCTTCATAATTCATTTCCTATGTGTGTTTGGCATTTTTTTAGATGGAGTACGAGATCATCGGTACTTCAAGAAATCCAACAATAAATCCATATTTACGAATGAAGATTTCATGAAAGTTGGACCTGACAGAATAAAAGTAAGAATTTTACGTTTAAATACTAGAGTTCGGCTCTGTATCTGTCTGAAGTCATGAAATATGCGAACGAACACTAATCTAAATTAACAGTTGAAAACATGAATAAAATTTTGCAGTTACTACGAAGAAAAAACGTCAAAAAAAGTAATGGGCAATCAAAAGAATAATTGTTTGGATGATGCGACATTTGTGAGCATTGATCTTTCCTGTTCTTGCAGTGATCACCACGACTATAATTCTTTTTTTTCCTTTTTTAAGGTTAAACGCGCACTTATATTTATGTTAGTACCATAAACTGCAGAATTTTTGATACCGGCATTTATAAATCCAGTGTTTTTTTTACTTTGTTGCAGATTTAGGTATTTAATCTTGATGTTAAAAATTATTAAAATGATTGCTTGTTATGAAATTTTATTTCTTTACCAATGAAATAAAAGTTATTAATTTCGTGAAATCACTAATTGGAAAAATAAAATTTCAATATGATGTGACTGAAGTTAAAGATTGTTTCAAAAAATTAAGGAGTTAATTAATTGTGCACAACAAAATATACTAAAGTGTATTGCTATATGCGGAAGTGATGTGTATCACAAAATAACATTTATTCACGGTAAGCTATATATCATTTTGATCATTCAGCTATAATCAGCAATCAGTTGAAAACCAATTGAATGACAGGTAAATTTAAACAATCAAGTTTTGAAATAATAAGATGGGATTCATTTTTGATTAATTAAAAATTTAAATTAGATGTGACAATTTATTTTGCACATAAACTCTACATTCTTTCGCAACATTTTCATATCGCCATTTTTACGTATCTCTGAACGGTCGGTGACTTAATTTAGAAAAAAAAAAGAAACGGAAGTAAATTAATAATGGGTGAAGAATATGAAGCATTGGGTCCAGCAGGAGCTGGTTTGTTTTACTTATCCTCTAAATTATTATTCATTTATTACTGATTGCTTTATATAAATATATATATATATATATATATATATATATATATATATATATATATATATATATATATA